AACGAATATTTCTTTTCCTTTGTCTCTCGTTTTTTTTTTTTTTTTTTTGGTCAGACTTGATTTCTTTCTTTGTATGTCATCTCCAAATTTCATTTCTTGCTCTAAAACAAAACCACTAATGCCAAGATTCAAGGTCTCATTTTCCTTGAGGACTAAGGTGCAAATTCACATGCTATCATTTAGAACGGGTCTCATGTGATTAAGGTTATAAATTTAGGATTATTAAAACCCTAAAATCAACTTTGTACTATTGTGCCAACATCCGTCACTCAATCCTATAGTCCATGTAAGGGTAGTTGTCAACAATGAGATACTTTTTTCATTCTCTTATCCTAACGTTTGCACCCCTTTTTATTTGTTTTCGACATAAGTACCTTGCTTTCCTACAACTTCCTTTTTTATTTTTTTTTAAGAGGTGAGCTAAAACTTAACTTTCAATTTGTTGGAACTTAATAGGCCTTTAAAAATTCAATAGAAACATGCAATACATTATAAATGGCAAGTAGTTTGAATATGTATGCATGTGTTAGATTTTCTTGAATTCTACACCAATAATTCCATGAAGAGAATCTCTCGTCAATGTGCTTGAGAGAAGATCTAGTGCATAAATAATATTTATTATTTGGTCAATCAACATGCCACAAACTTGTAAGTTCATCTTTCTCTTTTTTCTTTTAATGCATCAAACTTGCTTGGTCATAGTTGAAGCACAATAATTGGTTGTTTGCTTTCTTACATTTTATACTAATGACATGAATGCTACTAGAATAAGTAGAAACTTTAGTAAGGCACTAATGGCATTCAAACCAATTATTTCATTGTAAATTGGCAATTTCCTTATTAATTTTTTTTTCTTCCTTTCTTTTTAAGCACCATCCCATCGACTTTCAATGACTGTTCCAATTGGGTTTAGTCTCATTGCACAATCAAATCATAATCATAGTATGTGATCTTTCCTCTCACCTCTTTTTTTTTTTTTTTTTTAACTTATGGGACTTCATGCTATTTACTTAGGTGTTGTATACTCTTCGCCCCCATTTTCATTTTGGTCAATTGTCCTTTATTTGAGTACGTGCTTCATTTCTAACACTAGATATGATTTTCCTAAAAACTTATGCAAAATAATTTATATCAATATTATATATATGTACACTCTGTTTTTTCCTAACTTGGTATCAAAACAAATTTTGACGAATATTTACAAGTAAGTGCAACATGCTTGTGGGGGTGAGATTTAGTTTTCATTTCATGTGATTGTTGTAAAAAAAAAAAACACCTTATCAGTCAACTTAGTGAGTCAAGTTGAACACAAAATGCCAATGGGGCAGAATTTAGTTCCTATTCCATGCCACTATTGTGTACAAAATCTTCATTGGTAATTATGAGATGCATATCTTAAACACAGCATACCTATAGGATGAGACTTAGCTTCCACTTCACATCACTGTTGTATACAAACTCTTCACTTACAACTTTGAGACACCTAGTTCCAACATAATATGCTTGTGGGGTGAGACTTAACTCCCACTCTACATCACTATTATATGCAAAAGCTTACACACAACATGCTTATAAGATAGGAGTTAATTACTATTGTTTGTCATTGTATATAGAAAACTTCACTTACAAACATAAGGTTGGGTAAAAACGCAACATGCTTGTAAGATGAGACTTAACACCTATTTCATGTCATTATTATTTGCAAAAGTTTAAACATGTGTCTATAGAATAGAATTGGTTCCTATTCTACGTCATTGTTGTATGTGCCAATCTTTTTAATGCCAATGACAAGTTAATCATAATATGTTGCGCCTAACATCTACTCATTATCATCGAATGAAATTTCTTCATCATGACATGTTGATTACTCGAGGTTGAAACTTTTACCACCTTTTTCTTTTTCTTTCTTTTGCTCTTTTTTTTTTTTTTTTTTTTTTTTTTTT